CATCTTCTCTCCTCTGCTAACTTCTTTATCTTTCCTAACCAGCCTTCCTCTTCTCCAGTTTCACCATCTGACACCCAGCAGGGATCATTGTGGAGTGAGACCTTCACGGCACTGTATATCAGATCTCTAAAGCTGCTCATCCTCCTGAAGTGTGTGTGTGTGAGTGTGTGTGTGTGTGTGTGTGTGAGAGAGAGAGAGAGAGAGAGAGAGAGAGAGAGAGAGAGAGAGAGAGAGACTACATCCCCAGTACTTTTTATTTTGAAACAGGGTCTTGCTAAGTTGCTAAATTACCCAGGCTGGGCTCCAGTTTGCCATTTTCTTGCCTCAGTCTCCCACCCAGAACTCTCTCAGCACAGCTAAGGGAAGGCACTTTTGCCTCGCTCTTCAGCACCCTCTTCGTTGTCCTGGGACTCAGTAGGTCTGCAATTCGAATACTGTGTATTCTATATACTTTTTTCCTTTTTCTCTGAGACAGGGAAGTTCAGGCTGGCCCTGTACTCACTGTAGCCTAGGCTGGCCTTGAACTCACAGCGATCCTCCTGCCTCAGCCTCCTGAATGCTGAGATATTAGGCATGTGCCTCTATATCTGACTCCATATACTGTAAATTGTTGCTTTCCCCCTTTCAAACTAAGCAGCTATTGCTCCCTGATCCTAGTTCTCTGTCTTAGGTTATTAGCTGTATTCATGACTTTGTCAGTATGGGGGCATTTTTTACTTCCCAATGCCAGTATTGGGGATGCTTTTCTTCTCTGTCTGACAAACTCCCTTGTTCTTCTTAAAAGAACTTTAGCCTCAGTTCACTGGGTCCTGGTTACAGAGAGGTGCACAGAATGTAGGGAACTTACATTCTAAGGCTGGGCAGGGTGGCACATGCCTGTAATCCCAGCACTCAGGAGGCTGAGGCAGGAAGAGTGCCTCAAGTTTGAGGCCAGCCTGGGCTACACAGTGAGTTCAAGGCCAGCCTGAACGGCACAGCAAGACCCTGTCTCAAGAATAAACAAAAAACAAAATCCCAAAGACTTACATTCTAGGGACTACTTAGTGATTTAGAAAGAACATGTCTCAAAAAAAAAAATTAAAAAGGGATGGAGAGGTAGCTAAGTGGGAAGACCCTCATTCAGTCTCTAGTCCTGGTGGGGCAGCTGCCCGGCAGGGACTGTGTCCAGCGTTTGTGGAGGGCAGGGAGGGAGAGGGAGCCGGGAATGAAGACTGATTCCACTCTCCTCCTCCTTCTGGTCCTTTGCCAGTGACTCCCCCTGGCAGGCCCAAGTGGAATCCAGCTGGAAGCAGAGAGCAAGGGACTGGAGGATCAGTCCCAGAAGTCAGCCTTCTGAGGCACCCAGCAGGGTGGAGAATGGCAGGCGGGGGTGTGGATCTGCAGGTACACTGGAACGAGCTCAGGCACCTACAGATGTGACGGGCTGAACTTGAAATGAGGCCTTCAGGGTGGACCCTACCTGATATGCCTGGTGTTCACATGAGAAGAGGGGATTAGGACCCAGACCTTCACTCACAGAGGAAAGTTCAGGCAAAGGCACGGAGAAAACAGCCATCTACAAGGCAAAGATGTCAACCTTGCAGACGCCTAGAGCTCAGACTTCCAGGCTCTGGAATTGTGAGAAAAGAACTTCTGTTATTTTATTCACCTGGTCTGTGATACTTTGTTACGGCCGCCCCAAGGGCCCTATTACAATCAAGCCACCATTCGGCCCGGCGTATCACTCATCAGTATGGTGCTGATGTCTCCGGACTCAGGACGGTCAGACAGGCACTCCAAGGTTTATGACAAGAATGGAGCCATCTGTGGGGCAGCATCAAAATGCTGCACACCCTGGTGGCAGAGTGGATTATGACACAGCAGCTGCAGTGATCCTGTAACAGCCATTGGAACTGTCGTTCACCAGCGCTTACTTTCAGCTTGAGTAGGTGGTCCCTACCCAAAACTACGGAAAGCCTCCTAAATGTCGATTCTTTCTGTCCTCAGCTCCCCAACAACTCGGGTGTGCACTTCCTGTGGCTCATAGGCTCCGACGGCTCCCAGTCAACCATGCTCCTGTAATCCGGAGGTCCCCCCACTCTGCCCACCGGCGTTCTGCTCTCTCAGTTGCAGAAGCATTAACTATGATGCCAGAAAGAGCAACCTCAACGGCTCAAAAGAGAGAAAAGTCCTGCCTTGCAATTTCTTCCACATTGAAGCTTTAGTTGGGTCTTTGGCTTCTCCTCCCTGCACTTCTAATTCTTCAGTAGCGACTGAACTCACTTTGGGGGGCAGGCCCTGGTGGGAGAAGAGGAGTGTGTCTGTGGTCTGTGCGGGCAGCTAGCCCTGGTTGAGACAGAATTAGCAAGCTGATAGGAGGCCTGGGAAGGCTATATTTAACTGGGAGCACGTTTGCGCTTCCCGAGGTCTTTTCACCCTCCCCAGCACCAGGGATCAAGAGTCAGAGCCGAACTTTTTCTTCTGTGTTCTGGAGGCGGCTGTGAAGCCCACTTCTCAGTTCAGCACTAGTCTCCGTTCACTGCTCCTCTGCTTCACGGGCCCGTTTTTCTGGGCCCTCTCTGCAGCCACTGTTAGGTGAGTCTAGGTAGCATTTTAGAGTCCTGAAAGGGGGGGTGGTGAGCTAGATCTTGTCTCAATCAGTTGCCTAGCAGACAAGTTACTTAACCTCCTGGGGCCTTGCTTTCTTATCAGTAATGAGCATGATAATAGCTAGTGAGCAGGCTGTGGATTCTGAGAGATAACACAAACAAGTAGTAACTGCTCATCAAACAGTCCTGCTTCCCCTGCTCAGGGGCCTCCCTTGGAATGGGAAGACTTTGGGAAGACTTCAGGCTTTTTTTCCTGACGACAAAGATAACGGACTCCCAAGGGATCTTCTGTGAGTCATTTAAAACATTCACTGGATTAAAAAAATCACAAAGCCGGTGGGTGGTGCACCCATCTAGTAATCCCAGCTACTTGGAAGGCTGAGGCTGTAGGATCCCAAGTTCCCCTCCAACAGGGGCAATTTATGGAGATCGAGTTTCCAAACAAGCTAACAAACACAAGGGGTGGAGGGGCTGAGATGTGGCCTGGAGGTAAAGTGTTTGCCCCGCACAGGGCAGTCCCTAGGGTTCACACCCCAGCACTGAACCGGATGGGGGAGGGGCTCAAATATGAATACAGCAAATACAAATGTTTTTGGAGACAGGGTCTGGCTATGTAATTCATACTGGCCTTGAACTCAGTAAGTAGGCCACAATGGGCTCATCGATACTCCTGCCTCAGCCTCTTGAGTTCTGGGATTACAGGCTTTCAGCACCATGCCCAGCAGAATACAATTTCTTTCTTTTTTTTTTTCTTTTAAGTTAAACTCCAAGACACACATAAAAGGAGAAAAAAATTTTCCATTCTCCCTTTACACCTCCCCACCCATATTCACAGGCTGGTGTGTCGTCCCACACAGTTTCTATCCTCAAACACGGGCACAAAGATGGAGGTTTGTTTTTATTTTTCCTCTGACAGGTTAGGAGCCCACTAAAGGCATTTTTGAAACTTCCCTTTTCATTTAGCCATAAGCTATAGATGTTAATCTAGGCAAATAGCTATGGATCTGGCTTCACTTTAATAGATGCACAGGGTTCCCTAGAATATATGAGTCATAATTTTCTAGTCACTTTCTGGTGGATTTTCTCCCATTACAAATAATGCTGCAATGACTGCTTCTGCACAAGTACCCTGATCACATTATGCTTTAGTTTCTATGTACTTCCCCTGAAGTATGACTGCTGAGCTACATCCCAGTACCCTATTTTTAACAGTTTAACGACGAGAATTATTTTCCCCGGATTTTGGAGTACTCTCTTCGGAATCTGCGTTTTTCGGACACTTTCACTTTTCAAGATCCAAGGAGCAGCGAGGCAGAGGCTTCTCCAGCCGAGGGCAGGCAGCAACTCTGTGACTGTGGACACGCCGGTGGCACTCCAGGGACCAAGGGCTCAGGTGGCGAGCGCTATACAGCCTGAAGTTCAGTGTGATTTGGGAATGTGCCCTTCCGTGCTCGTTTTCCTTCTTCGTAGCCTGTGACTGACCAAGATTAGGCTGAGTCCAGCCCTAGAACTACTGACTTCAAATCTCTGCCTCTATTATCCCATCAGTAAGCTGCGCCTCAGACCCGACCTACCCCCACAGAATTATCTTCGCGGGGCCCGACTTTCTGGAAAGGAGTTGGCTTCATAAAACTAGAAAGAGTAAAACAAGCACTATACTCAATCCTTCCCCTAGATAGGTCACTTACTACTTCTGCTTGGGTTTGGCGCACCCCCCCCCCTTTGGCTCGGCTATCGAATGCTCTTGTCTGAATCTGGCAAGAAGCCCCAGAGCGCGTCTGTTCGGCTTATCTTTTGCTTCTGCCTGACCCCGCCCGCCGGATGGGGCTGCGGTTTAAACGCGCGATCCTCGGCTCGGCGGGCAATTTATACTGACTTTACCTGCTTCCGGTTCCGGTTGCGGCTGATTGTCTTCTGTCCGGTGCGGGGCCATGGCTGGGAGCCGGCTGGAAACCGTGGGGAGCGTCTTCTCGCGGTGTGTGCTAGGAGTCGGGGTGGGCTGAGAGTGCCTCCCTCAGGAAGGGGTTCTCTGGGTCACGCTTTTCGTTGGGCGAGCTGGGCGAAGCCTCCTGCAGGTTCTAGCCGAGTGAGGCTGTCATGCTTTTCTGCCTCCGAGCAGTTGTGTTTGTCTGCGCCTCCTCACATTCATGTCACTTTAGCGAATGCACCCTCCACCCCCAGTTGGCCCTCTCGAGGAAGAGACTGATGGCCTTAACTCTAATGTCCTTGCATTTTCCATGACGGGACGTGGGAGGGGGTGCGCCCCAGAAGATAGAGGGGTCACCCCTGAGCGAGGTTAGGCTGGCGTGGGATGTGGCGGTGTGTTTCCTGGAGGTGGGGATCCTTCCTGCAGAAACCCCTAACCTGTCAGAGGGATCCTAACCTGTCATAAACAAAAACAAACCTCCATCTTTGTGTCTGTGTTTGAGGATAGAAACTGTGTGGGACGACACACCAGGCTGTGAATATGGGGGCGGGAGGCTGCGAAGGGAGAATGGAGAATTTTTTTCTCCTTTTATGTGTGTTTTGGAGTTTAACTTGTAAAAAAAAAAAAAAAAAGTATTCTGCTGAGCATGGTGCCGCAAGCCTGTAATCCCAGAACTCAGAACCCGTCCTCCTCGTGTTCATCGGACTGCACAGTCTTTGATGTACCAGGCTGTGCCAGCCAGATTCAGGGCTTGTGGCAACTGTTGCAATGCACTGACCTTGCTTCTGTTCCCTCTCTAAGGACTCGGGACCTGCTTCGGGTTGAGGTGTTGAAGAAGAAGCCCCTCTGGTTTGACATATATAAGGCCTTCCCGCCTCTGAGGGAGCCGGTCTTCCGAAGGCCCCGCTTGCGATATGGCAAAGCCAAAGCGCACATCCAGGATATCTTGTACCCCGAGGATCAGATTAGAGCGTGAGTGTGCAGCCCGTGTAGTCATCAGGACGCAACAGACTTGAGAAAGAAAGACGGTTTAAGTAGCAGCCTGGTAATCTGAAGCAGACCTTGATTCAGGGGCTTGCCTGGCGGAGACAGATGATCATGTATAGTAAGTGGGGCAATAGCAGTCCTTCCTAAGGTGAGAGGAAACAGAAGCTGTGAGAAGTGGAATGTGGAGCAGGTGTAGCTGCCTGTCTTTCACACATCTAAGTAGTGCAAGGCACTGTACTATTGGTAACCCTTTTTCAACACAGGAGACTGAGGGTGCTTAACTCCCTTTGGTTACACGGGAGGGTGGCTGGTTGGGAATGACATCTCTAATTTCAGACTTGTGTTGGTCATTGTGCCTCCTTCTCTGAGTGGAGAAGGGGGAACATGGTTTATGGCCTAGTAGTTGGGGTCTTTGAAGGCACTCAGACAGAAAGACCTTTCAAAAGTCCAAGGAATTTGAAATAATCATCACTAGAAATTTGAGGGATTGTGCTTGCATGCTTTACTTCTCTAGCATCTGTTTCTTCTTTTATTATAAAAGTAATACATGCTTATTGTGTAAAATTTAGAAACAAAGAAAAAGCATAAAGAAAGCACAAATCACCTGTAATCTCACCATCTAAAGACAGTAGTTTGAAGGAAGCCCTGTGACTTAGAACCTTGCACAAATTATCCTGTAAGCACAGTTTTCGTAGGATAAGATACAATAATAATACCTCATAGAATTGTAAAGGGGAAATAAGAAAATGCTTATAAAGATTTTAGTTCAGTGCCTGGCACAAAATAAACCTTCAATAAATATTAACCTGCAATCCCAGCTATTCAAGAGGCTGAGGAAGGAGGATCACTGACTTAGAACCTTGCACAAATTATCCTGTAAGCACAGTTTTCGTAGGATAAGATACAATAATAATACCTCATAGAATTGTAAAGGGGAAATAAGAAAATGCTTATAAAGATTTTAGTTCAGTGCCTGGCACAAAATAAACCTTCAATAAATATTAACCTGCAATCCCAGCTATTCAAGAGGCTGAGGAAGGAGGATCACAAGTTTGAGACTAACCTGGGAAACTCAGTCTCAAAATAAAATTTTTTTTTTTTTTTTTTGGTACCGGGGATTGAACTCGGGTCCTTGCGCTTGCAAGGCAGGCCACCAAACCGCTCAGCTAAATACCCGGTCCTCAAAATAAAATGTAAAAAAATGTCTGGAGATGTAGTTTTATGATACGGTGACCCTGGGTTTGATCTCCAGTACCACACACGATAACCATTATTGTTATTATCCTTTGGGTCTGTCTGTCTTTTCTATGCGTGTATACATCTACATACATATAAAATCAGTAATATATGATACAAATAATTTGTGTCCTTCTTAACATTGTGAACATTTTATCATGTTATTACACATTTTAAAATACATTAACCTGTTGTGAGTATTTTGTAATTTAATCATTGTCCTTGTATTGGTTATTTATGGTATTTATTATTAGCCAAAACAAATAAATAGTAGTTTTGAATATATACATATATCTTTCACTGTAACACTAATCATTCCCATAAGGTGGATTTCTACTGCTAGAATTGATTAGGTAAGACCTTGTGAACTTTTACCTGATATTTTTTAAAAAGTTGTCCTACTTTATTCTCTAGTTAGCAGTATCTGAGAGTTTTGTATCCTTGTCAACATTGATAGTTATTTAGATTTAGATTTTTTTCTGCTATAGTTTTAAGATAGTGTCTAGAGATTTTAATTTCTATTTCTTTGATTAGTAAGTTTCCCCATTTTCATGTTGCCATTTTAATTTTACTTTTTAAAAATCTGTTTTTTACCTATTTTAGTAATTATCAATAATAATTATAGAATTAAATGTTACATTGCAAACAATTCTACATTTGTAGAATTAAAGACATACATTGCAGACATTTTTCATATGTTATGTGCCATTGATAATGCTTTTTTTTTTTTCTTTTTTGGTACCAGGGATTGAACTCAGGACCTTGTGCTTTGCAAGGCAGGCGCAGGTACCCCTGAGCCAAATCCCTGGCCCGATAATGCTTTATTTAAATCTTTTTTTTTTAATGTATAGAAGTTGATTATTTCTACAGATGTTTTCTGTGGTGCCTCCTATATGCCAAACATGGTGCTGGTCATTAGGATATTTTATGTATTCAAATCTGCCACTTTTTTTTTTTTTTTGAGACATGGTCTTGATATGTAGTCAGGCTGGCCTTAAACTCACTATTCAGCCCAGGCTTGCCTCGAACTTGCTGTGATCCTCCTGCCTCAGCCTCTTGAGTGCTAGGATTATTGGTGTATACCACCATACCTTCTACCAACATATACTTTTAAATTTTGTAAGTTAAATTTTTTTATTTGTATTAGTACATGTTTGCAGTATATATAATACATGTATCTAACACATCTTAATTTTTTTTTTACCTCCTTCTCCCTTCCTGCTCCCTCCTTTCTTGGTCTCTTTCCCTTTTACAAAAGATCTATCTCCCTGTTTCCTATTATCTATCTCATATTTTACTCTTTATTTCTATTTTAGGTTTCTCATATAGAGAAACTATGCAATATTTAAGCTTGTATGTCTGATTTCAATTTTTTTCTTTTTGGAGGTCTTATTACCTTTAAATTTACATTATTCAGAAAGGTCTTTTTCAGTAATTCAAATATCTTTTCCTGAGTCACTTTCAAAGTGCAAATCAGGCGCTGAGACAAGTAGAAATGTTTATTCCTCAATCTCATTCCCTTCTTGCTTCTCCTTTTCCCTCAAACATGAATAACCTTCAAAAATATACCTCTAATGGTTTCCACCAACCTTGTTTAAAATGTCTTTAAATCTGTCTCTCTGTCTGTTTTTTGTGATACTGGGGCTTGAACACAGGCCCTTCACGCTGAGCTACATCCTTAGCCCTTTTTCTGTTTTTAATTTTGGCACAGTATCTCACTGAGTTACCAAATTGCCCACTGTGGGCTGGAACTTGTGGTCTTCAGTTGCCTCAGCCTCCCAAAGTGTTGAGATTATAGGCGTGTGCCACCGTGCTTGTTGTCCCTTCTGCTTTTTTCATAGTAAAGAACAGTGCAGCTATCACATTCCTAGATGTTGTTCTCTGCTGCCTCCCAGTGTTAGGCCACCCTTTCTGTATACTGAGTAATTGGTTATACTGCACCTGTTACGGTCTTAGAGTGTTTTAATTGCTGTGCATACCAGGCAGATGTCCTTATTCATACCTACATCGAACACTGCCGTGTGCACACTGTGTCTCACTCATCCTTGTCATGTCAGTGCTTAGCCCAGTGCTCGCTGTCTCTCCGGTGAAGACATTGCGGATGAATGAATGAACCACACAGCTAGCGGAGGGAGACATGAGAGAAAAACATTCCTTGATGTCAGGAGGATGGGGGGTCGAGGTTGGGGCTCTTTGGAGAACAACCATAAGTATTTTGTTAGTGCTCTGAAGCAACTTCAAGAATTATGGATTAGGAATCCCATCTGTGGCCAATTCAGCTTCCCTGTGTACACTGCTTAACTCTTTAAGTGTAAATCACTCACTGGGAATTTACTGACCAACCTTCCTCTCAAATACTTAGTTTTTATCGCCTAGATTTTGTATGGTTCTTGTTATTTTTAGTTTTTAATGTTAACACCAGTGCTTGTGCCTAATTGATGTGTTTCACTTGCAGTGCTGGGCCTTTTATATGCTAGGTATGGGCTCTACCACTGAGCTACATCCCCAGTCCTGATTATACCTAATTGAAATTATTTTTACACTATTCTTGGAGGCAAGAAAATGGAATTGATAGTCTTTATTATCTTTTAGGACTTTTTCTTTTTTCCATCTCAGTTCCTTAAGGTAGCAAAACAAGTATATCCTTTCTCTATGTGGAAATTCAGGGTAGGACGTTCGATCTCTGGAGAGATTGGTACCTTTTTGCGCAGTACTATTTTGTGTACCTGGCAGTCGGGATGCTCATTGTTTAATTTATACCTTAGCATCATTTGTGAAGCAAAATCAAAAGACAACCAAAAAAAAGAGAAAAAAAGTTTTGTAACAATGAATGACCAAGGACTGATGTTCTATTTATATGGCTGTATAGTTTGCTTTTAAACTGACAAGGAAAAGACCACTGCTTGTTTTTGGACTGTTATAACAAATTCCATAGACCTCAGCAAACAGAAATATACTTCTGTAAATAAAATAACTTTATAAACCTTATAGTTTTGGAGGTCAGAATATCTGGGACCAGACTGCCAGCATGGTCGGGTTCCTGTGAGAGCCCTGATGCAGAGAGGACCATCTTCTTGCTGCGTCCTCACATAGGGGAGAGCAGAGAGAGGAAGCAGGCCTTCTCCTGTCTTCTAAGCCCTCTGATCCTCCACGAGCTGCATCCCAGGCTCCCCGATGTCCCATCTCCAAACTATCTCCGTGGGGATCAGGGTTCCGACACAAGAATTTTAGGGGACACAAACAGTCAGTCCATGGCAACCACCAGACAGAAAAATGGGCAAAGAACCTGGGTAGCTCACAGAAAAGGAAAATCAGTTTGTTTTTTGCTTTGTTTTGTTTTGTTTTTCATCTCCAAACTATCTCCGTGGGGATCAGGGTTCCGACACAAGAATTTTAGGGGACACAAACAGTCAGTCCATGGCAACCACCAGACAGAAAAATGGGCAAAGAACCTGGGTAGCTCACAGAAAAGGAAAATCAGTTTGTTTTTTGCTTTGTTTTGTTTTGTTTTTTTGAGACAGGGTCTCATTGTGTAGTTGAGACTGATCTGGAACTCACTATGTAGCCCAGGCTGGTCTTGAACTCACAGTGGTCCTCCTGATTCAGCCTCCTGAGTGCTGGGATTACAGGTGTGCGACACCGCGCCCGGCCGGAAATTCAGTTTGCTTTTAAACTTTCAGAGTTAGCCAGTCTTTTTCATAAAAAAAGGCAAATTAAAACTACAGCGAGTTTTTGTTTCTTACCTATCAAATTGGCAAAGATCAAACAGTTGGAATATATAACTTGGTCAGAATGCAGGGAACTAGGCACTCAGACTTGGGTGAAGGTATACATTGGAGCAGTGGCTTTGGGAAGCATATTAGTGACTCGGAAGGCTTATTTACAGCTGCAGTCTTTTGATCCAGTAATCTCATTTCCTGAATGTGTTCCAGAGAGTTCTCTGCACAGCGCACAGATGCAGGTGATCCTTGTAGCAGTGTCTACAGCAGCAAAGTGCTAGAAATAGTCTGTGTGCGCCGATTCTCTTAAGAAATAAGTTTAACAGGCAAGGTGGAGGGAGGAAGAAATCATTAATGGGTGTTAAGACCTCCCTTGGGAACGTGAAAATGTTTGAAACTGGATGGAGTCCATAGTTACACAATTGTGATTGTACTAAGTATCACTCGGTGTCATTAAAAGGAGTTACTTAAAAATTATTTTTTTGTTTTTCTGTAGTCCAGACTGACTGTATAGCTCAGGCTGGTCCTAAACTTGTGATCCTCCTGCCTCAGCCACCTGAGTAGTGGGATGACAGAGGTGTACCAATGAGCCCAGCTCAAAAAGGGTTAAGTTTCTGATTTGTGAGCTTTACCTCAGTTTAAGAGAGAGGGTCAGGGATTTAGTGCAGTGGCTCTGTGCCTCTGTGCTTGCCTCACAAGCACGAGGTCCTGAGTTCTATCCCCAGGACTGCAAAAGAAAAAGAAAAAAATATATAGAGTACAATTTCTTATCTTTTAAAGATTAAAGAATGTGGGTGGGACTAGGAATGATAGATGCATATGTGCTTGCCTGCTGGTGGGTTATTTCTGGGCAGGTACACCAAAAACTGGTTAGTGTTACTTCCTTTGAGGGGAACTTGGGAAATGAGGCACAGAGGAAGAGGAAATGTGATTTTTGTATTGTTTGTATTTTCCAGGAAATTTTATTCTGCTTATGGATCTGGTCAAAAAGCTTTTGATCTATTCAATCCAAACTTCAAATCTACCTGTCAAAGGTAAGCCATTTTCAAGTCCCATCTTTCCCGCCAAGGATTTCACTGTCAGAATGAGAAGTTTTGTTGAATTCTACTTGAGAGACAGATGTAGCCATAGGAAACCTATTGAAGATGTGCTCGCTCCTAGGATGTCACATCTTGTCAGCCCTGATGTACAGTTTCTGAGATGTGGCTGCTTGAATTCCAGGTTTGTGGAAAAGTACGTTGAGCTGCAGAATCTTGGAGAAACAGATGAAGAGAAATTATTTGTGGAAACAGGAAAGGCTTTGTTGGCAGAAGGGGTCATTTTAAGACGAGTAGAAGTGAGGACTGTGAGTATTTTATTGTTAAAATTGTTTTTGTTGGGCTCTGGGTGTGGCTCAGTGGTAGAGCACTTGTCTCGCCTGTGTGAGGCCCTGGGTTTGATCCCCATGATGCACAAAAAGTCACCATTACAGTTGGTATTTCTCCCTACTTAGCAGAAGTAAAAGAGCAGCAGTTTGGTGTTCTTTCCCCAACACTGGCTCGTGTCCTTAAATCCCAGGTCAGGTCCTGCCCGAGCGAGTGTACTGGAATTGCAGTAGTCACTGCTATTTGGAACAAGTGAGCCGTCAGCAGGGCTCTCTCCAAAATACAGTTCCGTGGACATTTCCATTGTCGTGTTTACCATTCTCCATAAAAGAAATTGACAGGATATCAGTGCTACATTTTTCCTCAGTGGCAGAATGTACCTCGTTACATGGCCGCAGTTTTCGTTGAGTGACAACGGTGACATCCGTGTGACACGCTTCTGTCTGGTCTTTTAAGCAGCAGGAAGGTAGTCACGTGAATGCCAGACCCCAAGCTTCGTTGGACGGAAGCCAGCCCAAGGAAGAAAGCAGCCGGGACCAGCATGCGGAGGCACCCGGGGAGCAGTGGAAAGGTCTCCCCGCTCCCTGAAGGACTTGTGTGCTATGTAGCGGGCAGCCGCGCTGGAGGGAGGGAGCTGTTTGTAACAGTGGAGCTGTGTAAATGTCCTCCGACCTCCAAGGCCCGTGTTTGCCTCCTCTTAGCTCCCACTTCTGTGTTGTCAAACAGCTCAGTATCATGGTTCGCAAAAAGCGGTTCTGTGAACTTCTATTCTAGGATGTTACTAAATAAAGAATCTGTACTGCTAGTAAAGTAAATTTACTCTGAAATTGTAAATAACATGAAGAAAACCTTTAGCGAGACTGTTTGAATGGGACATTGAGCAGGCTGCTGGGCTGTGCGTGCTGGCTTGTGACGCGCTGCTTTTGTCCCATGCTTTGATCTTCTCTGGGGCCATCAGAATCTCCCTCGCACACATGGCCCGGGGCCGGCTGTGTCCGTCTGCGGGTGATCTTTACGCCTCTGCTCTGCAGTTACCAACGTCGCCCGAGAGGCCAAGCTGACCTGCGCTTTGCAGTGAGGACCCACTGCCGGTGATGGCTGGAGGCTCACGCTGGAGCTTAGTGTCATGGAGTGAGCGCATCAGACACAGCTATGCGCCCGGTGGGCTGCCCGGTAGAAACTGTTGAGAGAATGAATATACGGTTACAGGTCCAGACGGCATCCCTGGAGGTGACTGGGTCAGTGGGGCAGCCGGGGCGGCCGTTGCAGATGACTCCACGAACATCCTGTCTCTGCAGCTGTGCTCATCCTCCTCGCCAAGTGTCCGGTGCTCCTCACTTCCCGGTGTTGTAGTTAATAAATGACATCCTCCTCAGATTGTAGCTGAGATCGTATGTGTAGCCATGCTAAACTTCTCAGCTAACAGCAATAAGCTGCTGCTTCAGAAATTCCTTGTTTTCAAACTCACGAGATTCTTCTGTCCAAAGGTTCTTTCTGCTGGGCTGAAAGGTAGGGTCCACCTCTCACAGCCTGTCCCCCTCCCGAAGGTCTGTGAGTCCCCAAGGCGGAAGTAGCTCTCAGCCGTGCCACCTTCTGCTTCCTCTTCCGCCCGGCTTGTCACTTTATATCCCTTGTGTTTGGGGAACGCTTTGCTTTAGACGAGATTTCAAAGACATTAGTAGGAAGCCAGATGGCTGTAGTGACCCAAGCCTATATCCCCAGTGCTCAGGAAGCCGAGGCAGGAGGATCACTGAATTGGAGGCCAGCCTGAACTACAGACCAAGACCCTGTCTCAAACAACAAAACTAAAGACATCGGATACAAGCATCTGGCCAGACCTTGGGAAGAGGACCTATAAGCAGTCGTGATGATAAGCTCAGTTCTCCTCACCAGCAGTGTATGAGAATGGGCCTCAGGAGGAGGGGCAGGAAGAGCCTGTCTCAGCATGGGGAGGCAACTGCTGTCACACAGTGCTTCTCCAGGGTAAGCCTCAGTGATCAGAACACAGGGCAAGGTGTGATGTTTATGTGGGGAATTCAGAACCTTTCCCCTAGTTTGGGGAAAAGCCTTTAGCAGGCCCCTCTGGTGTTCTTGGGGAGAATGGACGTCTGACCTCATTCTTTTCTTTAAAAGGTTTAAAATTGACTAGGTGTGGTGGTGCACGTCTGTAATCCCAGCACTCAGAGGCTGAGAGAGGAGGAACTACAAGTCTGAGGCCAGCTTGGGCTACACAGTGAATTCAAGGCCAGCCTGAGTTTCATAGTGAGACCCTGTCTCAGAAAACACTGCCCCCAACAAAGCTTCAAATCAAGTTGGGAAGGTAAGAGTGACTTAAGAATAGCAAGATGAGTAAGAACCCTTTTGGACTGTGATTCAAATGTGTGGTACAGGTCCAGGGTGGGGGATCAGCGCCGAGCTACAGCAAGAGGAGCTGGCGGGGCGGGCGCGGCCGAGTGTGCACTCTGCTCTGCTAGAAGCACCCTCCCTGCCACTGTGGCCTTGGAAATGGCATCTGAAGGCCTGTTTCGGATGTGCCCTGTTGGAAGCTTTGCCACTGTTCAAATCGCATGTCCAGTCCCTGCTGACCCTGTTGACCTGTTGAAGAGTGTTCTTTCCCTACTAGAAGCATAACAAGGGTGCACATTCTCACTCTGTAGCCACTGAAGCATTAAACCGTCTTCAGCGCAGAACCTCCAGGGTTTTGCTGAGCTGAGACAGGAAAGCCCAAGTTGTGTCCAGGCCACTGTGAAGTTGGCGCAAGACAAGTCCGAAATCCGGGTGCTTCTGGGAACTCCAGTTTTCACTGGCACGGCCTTGTGAAGGGCCTCTTGCCCGGTAAAGTGACAGCGTTCTCCTCGCAGACTTCCATTTGGAGATGTGCCGGCTAGTAACATGGGACAGGGCAGTTAGTATCTTGAGAAGTCGTGGAAAACAGGTTTGAACACATAGGGTGGGGTCAGACAGCAACCACCTTGACAGCCACGCCTGCCAAGGAGTTTAGTTGTGACGGGGAAGTTTGCACGGGGAAGAGATGTATGGAAAGCAGCATCAACGGAGGATTTGCCCAGAAGTGATACCGAGAGTGGGGCTGGGGGTCTGGGCAGGGCAGGAGGGGAAAGGAGACAGGTATTCCAAGGTTACAAACCCGAACGAGGACCAGAAGCGTGGCTAGCAGCTGGGGAAGGGGGAAGTGCGCAGGGAAAAGAGCATCCCTTCTTGGAGGGGATTGTGACTCGGAGAGAGCAAGAACCCTTGAGACAGGGTGACCTTTGGAGCCCAGAGGAGGAATGAGCTTATCAAGGGGATGGAGAGGAACATGTCAGGCACTGGCCAGGGGAGCGAGTGCTCTTGGTTGAAGAGCAGAAAAATGAAAAAGCTAGCAAAAGAAACCAGCACCCCATCATCCTCAAATACTGAGGTTGCCTAAGCGGTGCTAGATTCACCAGAGTTTATAGGGTTTTGTCTTTGCTTCGGTGGGGTAGACCTGAGCCTTGATCGGTGTCTTTGAAAACTAGCTCAGTTCTCTGCAGTTTTGTGTAATAGTCGGCATTTTGCTGAAATGACACCTCTTTAGGTAAAGGGTGGTTTGCTACTTAAGAACATTCAAATGGGGAGGGGAAGGGGGGAAGGGGATGTAAAAAGAAATATGTGTCATGTACATGTACCGACTACCTGCAATGGATGTACTCATGATGTACCGCAAGCACCTGCTGATGCAATCTTTAAAATAAACACTAAAGTACTCAGCAGATTAAAAACAAACAGTGGCATTCAGGTGGGATGAAAACATTTTCCCCGAGTGCCCAGGGGTGACCTGTGTGCTGTGACTGAGCCTGACACCTGCCTTTGAGTCAGGTTGAGTCCCTGTGAGTTAGGGCAGGGGACCCCGGGGGTGCCGAGAGGGAAAGAACAGCCCGGAACCGCGCCGCCAGGGACAGGGAGAGGCGGGCGGAGTGAGCACGGGCAGGGCGTCCAAGGCTCTTTCTTCCCACTGTTCCTGAGCAGTGACTGTGGCTGTCAGGCATGCAGGGAAGCCTGGGCAGGTTCAGTGAGCGGCTTGGTTGCGGTCACCTTGGCTGGCAGAGGAAGGGCATCTGCCCTCCTGTGGAAAACACAAGAAATGGCTTCCCTATCACTCCTAGGGTAGCTCAGTGTGACCAGCGCGACTGCGATGAGGTGAGCCCGGCACTGAAGCCGTTTCTGTGGAGATTCTGAAGCAGACAAGTGGTTATTGCTGCAACACTGTAATGAGGAGGGTACTAGGGGAGGCGAAGGAGGCAGGAAGCAAGCGTTACCTACCCTAAAAATGTTGCCACTGTCCGCCACTGCCACTTCTACCTGGGAGGTGACAAAGGCAGTCTTTCGTTGAATTGCCCGTTGACAATAAAACTGCATCTCAAGTGTAGTTTTGCCCTTGATTGACACTTTTCCTGGACTGTAAAATAAACGTCAGTCATTTGACCTTCTAGTTGCCCAGTTCTTTTAATTAGAAGAGGTTCTAAGCAGCATCAGTGGTGGTCTATTTATTATTAATCAAGCATTTTCCTCTCGGCAGTTAGTGAAAGGTCAGTGGCTTCAATGGATGCTTTGTTTTTGGTGAGCAGTTTAAACAGAAAAAGATACACAATCAATCTCTGCCTCCTCCTGTTTGCTCACGGGTAGGATACTATTTTAATAGTCATAGTGGCATTTAGGATCACGGGTCTCGGACACATGCAAAAAAGTGCATGTGCATCCCTTGCTGCTGAGCATTTCTCCAAAAGTAAACATGAAGTTGGGATTATGGTTCATAATGAGCTATCGATTGTCTGGAAATGTCACCGCCGGGAAGCAGTCGGCTCCGGCACCACTAGGTGGCGCTGCGCTCTCGCGCTGTTTAAACCGCTCACAGTCCTTTCCTTGCCTCGGGGTACCCTACCTTTCAAGGTTGGCGAGTGTCCTTGTGAAATAGCGTTCAGGCTGAGATTTAGGAAACTAAAGTCCTGGGGTGCTACTGGGATGGAGTAGGGATGGGAGGGGACAGGCCACGGGGACAAATGAGAAAGGCCTGCGGGTGTCATGGGAACAGGGGAGGGCGCAGGGGCTGCATCGCGCCCCTGGAGACTCTGCCCGGAGCAGTGTCCCCGACCCTCCCGTCAAGGACAGCGACAGGTGGGGGTGTCGAACAGCAGAACAGCTCAGGCAGGAGGCAGGCAGGGCGGAGCCTAGGAAAAACCCCATGCCCGTCTGTTGCTTTGTCTGGTGACCTTAGGGAGTTGGTGGACAGCTTGAGCCCATCTACTCACGGGTGTGTGAGGGTCACAGGGCCCTGGGCCCCGTTCCTGTCTTTGCGGTCCCAGCCGGGCCGTCTGGGGCTCTGGGCCGCAGGATGGAGAGCGCCTGTGACCTGGGCGCGCAGAGGGCAATCATCTCTTTCCACCGGCCAGGCATCAGGACCCTCCGAGCCCTCTCCCTGCCTCAGGGCTCGCTTAGCAACTCCTTTAGCACACATAAATGCGCCAGTGAATAGTTTAGAAAATGAAAAGCAAAGAGAGCAAAGGAGATAAAAACATCTTGGGAACTTGTCCACTCTCGGAACTTTCCTAATGCTGGTAGGTTTCACTGAAAAGCTTGCTTTTGTTTAGCTATTTCTTAGAGTGTATGTGTGTGTGTAGAAATCAGTGTTTGTTGTCGCTGGGCATGGTGGCTCATGCCTGTAATCCCAGCACTCGGGAGGCTGAGGCAGGAGGATTGCTGTGAGTTCGACCCCAGCCTGGACTACATAGTGAGTTCCAGGTCAGTCTCAACTACATAGTGAGACCCTGTCTCAAAAAACGCCCCCCCCCAAAAAAAAGTCAGTGTTTGTTTTTGCAGTGCTGGGATTTGGAACCCGGGGCCTCATGCATACAGGGCAAGTGCTCTACCACTGAGATCCACTCCTAACCCTAGAAATTAGTTTCTTTTCTCTGTCTTTTCTTTTCCATAGTGAGTTCCAGGTCAGTCTCAACTACATAGTGAGACCCTGTCTCAAAAAACGCCCCCCCCCAAAAAAAAGTCAGTGTTTGTTTTTGCAGTGCTGGGATTTGGAACCCGGGGCCTCATGCATACAGGGCAAGTGCTCTACCACTGAGATCCACTCCTAACCCTAGAAATTAGTTTCTTTTCTCTGTCTTTTCTTTTCCCTCCCTCCCTCCCTCCTTTCCTTCCCTTTCTTCCTTTCCTCTTCGCTCCCCTCTATCCCTCCCCTCCTCTCCTCTCCCTTCTTTCTCTTTCTTTGGGACAGGATCTTGCTATGTAGCTAAGTCTGGAAGGTCCCTCCCTAGAGCCACAGCTGAAGAGAAGGGGGCAGCTTCTGAGACACCGATCTTGGGGCCTGGAGCCGGCCAGCAGTTGGGGTGGGAGCTGCTGGCCCTCCCCTAGGTCTGTCCTCCTGTGAGGGTGTGGGGCGGCCATGGGTGCCAGGGCTGAGTGGTGGGCAGAGTGGGGAGGCTCTTGAAGGCCCCTCTTCCTCTATTGCACCCTAGTTGGCCTGCAGGTGGCTGGAAAGCCACAGGAGCACAGTCGGGTACCACCCCGCTCTGGCTTCCTCTGGAGTCTTCGTCAAAAGAGCTGGGTTTGAATGCTAGTGCTGGCTAGTGTGTGCCAGGGACAAGTCACTTAACCATTTTAAGCCACACCAGCCCCACAGAATCTGGACCTAACAGATTGGGGGGGTCCTAGTGGGGGTTGAACCTAGGGAGTGCTGAGCTGCACCCCCAGCCCTTTTAAAATTTTTATTTTGAGACAAGGTCTTGCTGAGGTCCCCAGGCTGACCTCAGACTTGTGATCCTCGTGCCTCGGCCTCCTGTGGAATCGAACAGATTGTTGAAAGTGCATTTGTTGAGTGAACTGATGAACAAATGAGTGGCTTCTCATCTTTCCCACGGGGATGATAAAATCGGTACCAAATGTATTTTGGGGTGCAACGCCGGAACAAGACACCAGCTGTGACAGAACTTTGAAAACACTCCAGCCTTCAGCAGTTACACAGAATAAAGACACGAGGGAGGGAAATGCCGGGGCGCTGACAGTGATTTGCAGAGCCCTGGCCAGGGCTGACACCTACTACAGCAGTCTGCGGGGAGGAGCGCTGATGGTGAGTCCCTGCTCAGGCCGACACCTGGGTGCTCAGGGCTGTCTTCACTACGAGTCACCAGTGCCCAGCCGGCCACCTGAGGAGGTGGCCCTGTGGCTCGACATCCTCACAGCCCAGCCAGCCGCAGCTCCTCTGTCTGCCATGTATGCAGCATTGGCTCCTTGGGCTTCAGCCCACGAGGTGTGGAATTGGGGATAAGGGTCTTGCCTCGCCACCTCTCCTGACTGGGGTAGGGTTTCCACTGTCACAGTAGAGCCTGGGGACAGTCTCCAAGCCTCCCGGCTTCCCTGCCCAGCCACTTTCACAAGCCCCCCGAGGTCACAGCAAGAGGCAGCGGCCTCCACCCTCAGCAGTCCCAGTTTAAGGCCTGAGTGGTAGCGCTTGTCTTGAGCAGTCCGGCCCACCCGGAAGCCTCCCACTTGGGGTGTGGAGAAGAGAAGGGGACTCCGAGGCAGGGGCCGAGACCAGGCCGATGCGAGACGGGCTTCTTACAAGAGCCCATTTGAACACCTGCAGTCTAGGAAGTTTACATTTAGGAAAATCTCATCTGCAGGACCTAGGTCCTCTGAACCATCCGCCACTTATAATTCATATTAATGACAGGGAGATGACGGATGTTTATTGTTTGACTGGCTTACGCATTGCCAAACCCCAAAGGACCTCCCTGAAGATCTGAAGGATGCGAATGGACTTTATATTCATGTTGAAGAGAATAAAACTTTCAGGGTACGATCAAGATTTTTTTATGTATGAGAACCCAGTGACTCACAGGCAAAAACAAAACAAAATACAATGATGTGAACTAGGTGTACTGCTGTTTCTTAATGACATTTAAAAGTAGTTCCTTTGGCCCAGAGTGGTGGCCCATGCCTGTAATCTGAGCACTCAGGAGGCTGAGGCAGGAGGATTGCCACAAGTTCAAGGCCAGCCTGGGCTACATAGTGAGTTCAAGGTTCAAGGCCAGTCTGAACTTCATAGCAAGACCCTGTCTCAAAATACCAAAAAGAAAAAAAAAAAAGAAGAAATATTGTACAGCAACTGCAGACTTGGCCTTTTCCACCCAAGGGGGTCAACCAGCATCTCTGAAAACTATGAGTCTTTCTTCCACTAACACACACCATGCTCAGACCTAACAGCAAGGTAATTAACAGTTGTTCTCAAGTATTACCTGACACTCAGTCCCCCTTCTGATTCCTTGATTTCCTCTCAACCCTCAGAACAAATCCTCACTCTTTCCCACTGCGGCCCTGTTCCTATGCCAGCAGTTTTTAACCCTTTCTGTGCACAGAGCTCCTCGTGGTTGCCTTCACCAACCAATCATCTTGTGCCACCTTTCCTGCCCTACTAACTACAGTCAATCTGTTGGCTTCCCGCTAGGATGGATTTGGGTTTGTGGATTTTTTTCATTCTCCCTTCTTTCCAGCGTGGTGTGTTCTCATTTTAGTTCCTCTGTGTCCCACACTAAGACCGTTTTAGAACTGTGTGTGGCAGCCCATGCCTGCAATCCCAGCACACTGGGAGGCCGAGGCAGGAGGATCTCGAGGGTAAGCCCATCCTGGGCAATTTAGTGTCTTAGAGAGATCTTGTCTCAAAAAAAAAAAATAAATAAATAAATAAATAAGGTTGGAGATGTAGCTCTTATGAAGGCCTTGGGTTCAATCTCCAGTAGTGAGGGGAAGAAAACAGCTAAAATAAAAGACTGTTTTGGGCTGAACTGTATCCCCAAAAGACATACTGAAGTCCTAATTGCTTGTGCCTATGAATATGACCTTGTTTGGAAACGGTCTTTGCTGATACAACAAGTCGACCCAAGCCCTATTGGGGTGGGTGTCTTTACAGAGGGAAAGATTTGGAAGCAGACACACAGCAGAAGACAGGAACATGAAGACCAGCAGTGAGCCACAGAAGCTGGCAGAGGCAGGGCAGGACCTTCTCCAGAGCCACGCCCACATCACAACCCCATCAGAGAACTGCAGGAAAAGGAAGCCTGGGGAGAAACTAGGACTCGGGAGGGCAAGGATGGAGTGGAGAGACCTGAATTCAAATCCGACCTTTGCTGCTGGCTTCCAGAACTCTGGAATACATTTCTGTGGCAAGCCATTCAGTGTGGGGCAGTTTGTCATGGCAGCCCTGGGAGCAAACTTGGGTTCCCTCACATCTGGAGCCAGAGCCAGGGCCAGGAGTGTGTAAGGGGCCTGCCCGGGACCTGCCTGCCCCATGCCTGCTGCATGGCGCCTGTGCCCTCTGGAGATGCCCGGATGTGGGCAGTAGAGCAGGTCCTGCTCTGAGGCCGAGGCGGAGGCAGACAGTGCCAGATGCCAGAGACGGTGGTGTGGTGCTCACCTTGGGGTTTTTTCCTGAGGAATGTCACTACCCATTTCTCCTTCAGTGGAGATGCATGGGAGAAGTTTCTGTCACATCTTAGCTCAGGGCACCCTGTGCTGCATTGGAGCAACTGGAAAGCTCATTTTCAGGGCCTTAGTAAAGTTGGCTTGTTTCCCATCCACCTTTGGCTGTGAGGAAAAACAGCTAGATCTACAGCCATGGACAGGTCTGGTGTATATATGTTCTCAGGCATACAAAAATTACAATAAATGTCCACATGCTCGTAACCTGGCTTAAGCCATAAAATTTAACAACTACAAATGAGCCCTCTGTCTGTTCATCCTTGATCTTTTGTACCCTTTTCCTTACCCTTGTGGAAACATTACCTTTAGTATTTATCCTTCCCATTTATAAAATAACTTCTCTACAAATGTGCAACAATAGCAAACATAATGTTGTGCTGCATATATAAAAATTGGTTTCTATTACATGCATTCTTTGGTAATTTGATCGTTTCACGAAAGAGTTTTCCTTTGAAACTTGCCAGTGTTGTCATATGTAGTTCTAGCTAACCCGTTTTCACAGCTGTATAGTATTCTCGTGTACGACAGGACACATGTCTCTGTAGGGTTAAGAGCACAGTCCTGGGCCCAGACTCCCTTGGCTCAAACTCTGGTTCTGCCACTTCCTAGTTCTGTGACTTTAGATAAATTGCTTCACTCTTCTGTGCCTCAGTTTCTTCACTTATAAAATGGGGCTAATGGTGCCATGTACATCGTAAGATTGAGAAGACGGATTAATCCTCTTGCCTCCGCCTCTCAGAATGCTGGGATGACAGAGTGTAAGCTTTTAACCGCAGGGCTGTCTGTGGGCAGGCTCGGGCTGCACCTTTCACAGCAGCCCTGACCTTCTACGCAGCAAGCGCTTGAAGAAAATGCAGGTACTGAGCATGGGAGGTAAACGGGTGCCGCTGCAGGCGGGACCTCTCTGCTCTGGATTTATAGGACTTTCCTAAGGTCACGGCTCTTCATGTCTTAGCCCGTTGGCACGAGGCCCTCCCGCCACATAAACATTTGTCGAGGAAGGGAGAGCCCAGCGTGGGCCTGTGCTCTGACCCAGCCGGGTCAGGACAGCTGCTCGGCCGCGGTGCGT